AAATATAACTAAGATATCAAGTATTTCTTACAAATAGAATTAAAACAGTATGAAATTGACTTCAAGTCTGCTCTTATTTCAAAGCAAAGCCTTGAATCTTCCGACAGCCCTCTGATTTGTCTCTTAAAAAACGATTTCGACAGCCCTTTAATTTGTCTCTTAAAAAAAGATTTCTGGCTGATAATATCAAGTATTAAGCGTTGAACCTTATGTTTTATTTTGAAATGATAAAACCAACGAGCTGGTCTCAACTCTATACAACTTTTTCCAAAGATTCGGAACAATTCGCCATGCATCAGTAATTCGAATAAACTTAGCATCCAAGAATCAAACGAGTTTCAGAGCAATCACAATGTTAATAAAATACTACAGACTGCTCGTATCAGGGCAAAGCCCTGAATGATCCGACTGCCTTTTAAGGTTTATGGAGCAGCAGAAAAAACATTAAAAAAATTAAATGAAATAAAATAAGAAGAAATTGTTTTTTCTAAAATTAGAAACTTTTTATGAAAATCATCCCCCCACAGGCCATATAAAATACAAAAAGAGAGATTTCGTTCCTTGTAACAAATCAATTATGGCAAATAAGCTTCGTTCAACCAATTTGGAACGATATCAAAGACGGATTAAATCTCGCTTACGCGTTAATAGCGCGAATTATATCGCGCGTTAATTGTCCCAAATTGGTCAAAATGGCCACAATGGCAATCTTTAAACCCTCATATTATTACGAAAATTAATCAGAGGTGAAATATCTTTTCAAATTTAAGCTCAGGACAACAATACCTTTTGAGTGATATAAAAAAAATTCCGTCAAAAATGGTTAGTTAAAAAGTCGAAATTTGTCTGAAGAAAAAAAACCCACCCCGAGCACAAATATTCCGTTACATTTCGTATCGAAAGTCTGAGCAATAATAAAGATCCCGGGTTTGAGCCGCATACTTAACAGTTTTTTCAGAGTTGGAGAAAATAAGCACCCTGAGCCTACGTTTTCCTCACTTTCTTTGAAAGCGAAAGTCGAAACAATAAAGAGTAGATCGGCATTGTGGCAGATCAGATAAAAAGCGAACATGAAATGTATTTTTGCTGCTACGATGCTCTGTCCACGCAGATTTTAGCATATCACAACCCGATTTTTTTTAGATTGTCTTGTTATGACAAAAACTACAGCTTTAGTTATAATGGCAAAAAATGTTTGTTTTTTGTTCGCCGAAATGGGCGATGAGAAAGCCACTAACCATGCACAAATATTCTTCGTTTCTTTTTTTCTTGCCCGTACCCAACGGAGGCTGTTTTTCTAAATAGAAATTTTATATAGATTATCTTGCCAAGTTGTCTTGTTTTTTTTTCTGTGCAGATATGATCTATTGCTTTTCTAGTTAACAAACAAACAGTTTCTGGAAAGAAATTACCAAAAATCAGTTCCTTGTTTGACTGCAATAAGATAAACTTGCTTCGAGTTTTTACTATACCAGAAGCGACCTATTGCAAATTAACAAACAAGTAAGTGTTACTTTGAAGTAGGCTTCTAAAATTATTTATCTTCCTTTAGGTATGTGGTACTGGTTAGCACAACCGCCTAGAAAATTAAAAGGTCGTGGTTTGAGTCCCACCAGAGTTTTTTCTAGCTAGAAATAGTTTAAATTTAGCTACTTTTTTTTTCAGAAATAAGATAATAAATAAAGAATTATAAGAAAAACCCTGCTTTATTTTAAAATTTCATAAAGAATTTCTGACCAGAAACTTAGATTAGATTTAAAGTATTTCAGTTCAGAAATGAAGAATTTTCTCGATACGGATGATCTATTGCCAGATGTCTTGTCTGCTTTATCATTATCATTTTGATTTTCTTTAAATTGTGTCCTAGAACAATCCTGGATATCTGATTTATATTTTCCGCAAATTGCGGCTATCTTTTGGGGATCCACGGGATGACCTTCGTAAAAATGACTTATTATGCAATTCTAAATATGAAATCTGTAGGAAAAAAAATAACCCATACAATATTTTGTCAGCATTTTTTTGACCTGACTACAAAAAATCCAGCTACAACTTTCGATCAATGGGAAATTTTTTGCCCTCATTTTAGGTCCTTTTAAGCTGATTGAGCAACAAAAAAGTTTGGATTGAACAAATGCTTTGTTGAATTCTAGTTTTAAGAATTTTTCTACATAAAAAAAAACTTTTTTAAAAAAAAGGAAACTGAAATTATTGTTTCCGTTTTTCCCATTTTTTTGAGCAAAAATATTTTTTTTGCAATAAATTTCTTAAGCGCGCAAGAAAGCATTTGTTTAATCAACTTTTTTTCACCTTTCTAGTAAATAAGCTAAGCGGCACAGCTTTGAGGCACTGCTATGAATGGGACGAGGAATCAATTCATCCATGATATATGTTTCTCTTTGTTGAGTAAACTGCATTTTTATTTCGTAGCTGTCACTTGGAGCGGAAACAAAATGCCTTTTATAATTCGCTGCACGTATCCTGAGTCTATTTTTCATCGATTTTTTCTGTTTTAAAGGTTCTATAGGGCTACAAAAATCAACACACCTTTTCAGCCAATCCAATCAAAATCTCGACCAAAGCTTTACAAAAGTGCATAAAAAGATAACGTATTTTTGTGACTAGATATAAAGTAATTATTTTTTTGTTACCATACGTCTTACCACAAGATTGTCTTGTTCATTTGCATCAAACAAGCTTGATAAAAATAAAAATAGAACTCGAATTTTAGTTCATTTTTTGTTATTAATTCAATTCTTTAAATTAGAAAGTTCATAAGGCTCATTCACCGGTTTAAACTGAAAACTTGAACTTTGTTATAAAAAATTTAATTCAAATTCTTAGCTGATATTCAATGTGCGCTTCTCAGTTTCACTTAATTTCTTTGAAAAACCATCTTATTCATCTTATATAGATTATTACTGTACAACATTTACAAAAAAATTTAAAAAGTAGATAAATATTTTTATTCTTCCAACAGGTCTGCGCAACCTCAAATTGTACTAAATTACCCTAATTAAAAACCGCAGATTTCATCTTTATACAAAATGGACAAAACCAACTTACTCGATGGAGTTCATTTCTACCTTGCGCCGATTGAGCCGATCGAAGAGAAAAGCGGAGAATCGAGTCAAGCTTCGGCCGAACATTCGCTCATCGGGGACGACATCATTTCATCACAGCAGGGTTGGCAATGAGAAAAGATTTCAATTATTTGATTTGATTATCCAAACCGATTGTAAAATTTTAATCGAGCGCTGTTTTTTAACGAAAATGTGATGTGATGCTTATAAAACTTAAACTAGGAGAAAAAAATTATAAAAAACTGAACAAAATTTTGACGCCGAAACTTTTTATAGCTAGCTTAAGTGGTTGCTAGTTTTAATTGAATGAACAGTTACGTAATTTTTGTATAACTATTCGGCCTTATTACCGAAAAATTGCGGTTTGTTAAAAAATCTCTCTGATATTATAAATTGCGAAACACGTGTATAGAGAAAAGTTTCATAAGATCAATCTGTTATTTTGATCACCAAATTATGCATGTCTATCTTAGCTTCAAAGAAGCTTGAGATAAAAACCAACAAATTTGAGAAAAATTTTTAGTGCAGAGCAAATCAATACTGCCTCAGAATATTACACCAATTAAAAGAGAAAAATAACCTGAATAAGAAATCGACAAATCTGGGCCATCTATGTGCAAAAAAGAACTTTGATAAAGTGAGAATTTTGATATGAGAATTTTGAAAAGTGAGAAATTTGATAAAAAAATTTTGAAAAAGAATTTTGAAAAGCGAGAATTTTGATATTATTAATTAAGCGTAAAAATGAAAAAGAAATAATTTCACTTTTTTTCTACTTGCTCTCGAATATGCCGCGTGATATAACTGTACGCTTTTCTTTGATATTAGATGTGTTTTTACACCAAATAATTTAAACTAAGAAGTTGAGACGAGGCTTTAAAACATACATACCCAGGTTCGTACCATTCCATACGTATAAATATTTGCATGAAAATTCTACGATGAGTTTTTTTCATATTTGGAAATTGTATGATAACGGTTATTCTATATATGAAAAATGTATGATGAGAATTTTTCCATGAAAGAAAAATTCGAATTCTGCTTTGATTCATGTATTTAGTCTGAAAACACAAAAACAAAGAATTTTCTTTTTGGCAACATTACCCATTGGTTAAGTGGCAAAAATTGCACAGGTGAACTGCATTTGAAGTTTTATGTATTAAATTTCACCCAGAATTAAATACAGAAACCGCAAATTTTTATGTTATGTTTGGAAAACTTGGTGATTGAAAACTGTAGCTTATTTTTTGAGTGAGACAACACAAAATATTTTACCACAAGAACACATGAAAAAATTAAATTTAATTCACATAAAAATTTATCGTCCCTTTTCATTCATTTGTACAGAAA